ACATTCGCCTTATTGATACTGAAGCATGCCAACTTTCTAGATTTCTGAATATAAAATGAAAAGTAAAAAAAAAGGTCATATGCAAGTCAAACCTGCTCTGCCATCAGAGGAGGCCTGTTTCTGTTCATGAACAGCAGGTCCATCCCCTCCACATTCTTCCGCCGTCCTCTCTTCTTCTTCATTACCGGCTGTCCATCTATAACTCCATTCAGTTGCATTTGCTCTGGCAGTACTGCAGTAACACAAAGAACATGCACTTTTAGTATCATCCAGCAGTGCACGTTATATACAGTGTGGTGTGGTTAGTGGGTAAAGCAGGTATTTGTTTAAGTATGGTTGTACATTACCTTGTGGATAGCTGTTCTGTGTTTTGGTGTAATCTGCTAGGCTGGTCTCAGACGCGTTCTGTAATTCGTGTAGCCGGGCTAAGTACTGCTGCTGGGCAAGAGGTCCCTCCTCGCCCTCCAGGGGGCGCTTCAGAGGCAAACCTTGCTTCTGGAAGGTCAGTTTAAGGCTGCCCTCCTGCTGCAGGTCAAAGGCCAAAGGTCAGAGGTTAAGGACACATTGCTAACAGGGCAGGTTTTACAGATAAAAAACACCCATATGAGGTTCTTAAATGACAACAGGTTTTACACAGAGAGGCAGTTTTATACAAATAGTCTCTAGTGGGTTGAGGTAACACAGGAACACAGTAAAGTCAAAGGGCTTAAAGGTAATGTGTGTAATCTTTTAGGTGCACAAATACTTTTTCTATTCTCAGTTTAATTTCCAAAAAATACAATCAAATAAATTAAGTAAACCATTCATAGGTTGATTCTCACAAGTTGGTTTTATCAAAACATTGCTGTGTCTGTTTGAGCATCCTGACCAGTCTGATATTAGCAACATTATCACAGCTAATAAGAAATATTTCAGCCAGAACTATCTGTTCATTAAAAATAGAAATGTATACAAGTCTCTTATGCTCACCAGCCCTGAATTTATTTAATAAAAAATATAGTAAAACAATATAGTAAAACATATTTTTTAAAACAAAGTACTAATTAATATAATAAAAATAATAAAGTATAATAATACAATGAATATGATAAAATTAGTATTACACACTTCACCTTTAAAGCAAGGACAGAGCACAGAGGCTAAGACTGATTTTGTGCACCGGGTTTAGTTTAAATGGGTGAATGTTGCAACTTCAGTGTAGCAGATTTGATTCGATCCCAGCAACAGTCACAGGAATATACCGTTAGTCTCCAGACAGATATAGAAAGCAAAAACTCTGAGGATGTAAACTAAAAATGAAACTAAAGCGGCAAAATCAAATGAAAGGAAGAAAGAAAGAAAGAAACAAATACTAGAGGAAAAGGGGGAAGACCAAACAAAACATGCCAAGCACTGCAATGACACTGCAGATCGGCATTTGTGGGGGAGAACGTAAAATAACATACGTCATTGATTTTGACTGAGAACTCCTTTTCTCTGTCTGCAACATGCTTCTTCACCTTTGAACCCTGAGGGGAGGCTGAAGGGTCTTCTGTGAGCGTGGATGTGTTGTCCAGGAGTTTGGTGGTGTAGAAAGAAGTCACTGCATTGCCTTCGTATGCACGACGAACCCCTGGCCATTTCCCTTTCAACACTGCCTGACATATACTGTCCAAACGGTTTATCATGACACGGTCCTGCAATGTGTGGAGAATAGTAATGTAAGGACATTACAACTAAGTACTGTACTTTAAGGTGGAACTTTATGATTGTGGTGGGGTAGAGAAAAACCATGTTCCAAAGCAGAATATTGTTTCTGTATGCTTATAACTTTTTAATAAATGAAATGATACCGTTCTTACAGCGACAGAGCCACAACTAGATACAACTAAGATACAACATTGACAGAGCAAGACCAGAAAAGAGGAATTGGCACAAGATGTTGGCCTGGACTACTCACCTTTGGCCAGTAGGAGGCAGCAAGCATATAACCTCCCTGGAAAGGGTGGGGAGGGTTAGAGATACCGTTGGTCACATGACTGTCCTGCATGTCATCTTGTGTAATGTTGAGTGAGGCAACGCTGTCTTCGTCAAAGCCTTTAACACCAGGCACTGTTGATGCTACCGGAATACAGACAGACCCATCAATGTCATACTGATCAAGCACACTTTAAACATTATCCATTTCACATTTTGCAAAACTCAAACTTCAAAACTCTGCAATTTTTTGTATGTACAGAATATCCAGACAACCTACTACATTTGTGAAAATGTACTCAACGCTCAACCTGACTTTCCATTTTCAGTGTGATAAATGAACCAGAAACAACATTAGTCTCTTTCCTGACTCATTTGACTAGACTGCCAGACAGGGCATTTTTAACTGGATTAAAACAACTATTTATTTCAGAGATGACAAAAGAATGCCGCTTGCTGAATTTAAACAATGAAGACATGTCACAGCTTTGTAGCATATTATGGTTTAAATGCCTATTACATAAAGCTTCACATATTTTTAAGAAATAGCAGGCAGTGTGCAGTATATATGATGTACACTGCAGTATGCACTACACAAGCCTTTCCCATTTTAACCCACACTGAAGATATACATATTGAATGAAGCATTTCTCTCTCGTAAAATAGTCTCTGGGCATGCTTTAAAACTCATGACTCTCAGAACTGATTAATGCATTAGTGAGTGAACTGAATGGACACCTGAATGTTGTTACTGGGACTGCATTCTACCCAAAGAAAACCGCTTAAAATCACTTTTGCACTGGCACACACATGCACTCATTAAAAAAAAACCTTATACACTATTCACCATACAATATCGTTCAAAAGTTTGGGATTGGTAAGATTTTGAATATTTTTGAAAGAAGTGCTCACCAAGGTTGCGTTTATTGGATTACAAATACAGTAAAAACAGTATTACAATTCAAAATAACCATTTTCTATTTTAATATTTTTTTAAATTATTTATTCCTGTGATGGTAAAGCTACATTTTCAGCAGCTATTACTCCAGTCTTCAGTGTCACATGATCCTTCAGTAATCATTCTAATATTCTGATTTGATGCTCAAGAAACATTTCTTATCACTATTATCTAGTTATTTTCTACAGTTACTGTAGAAAGTCTACAACGTACTATTTAAGTTAATCAGATAACTACTTACCGTTCTTTGGTACCTCCTCACTGTCACTGTCTTCTGAAGATGTGGATGATGATGAAGAAGACGAAGAGCCTGAAGAACAGGAGGAAGACGAAGACGAGGAACTTGATCCAGACCGTGACGAAGACGAGGATGAGGAAGAAGATCTTGATGAAGAACTCGACGAAGAGCTGGATGAGGAGCCGTCTGAGTCTGCTCCCGACCCCCTCCTGGCCTCTTTGCGGCTCCGCTTACTCAGTTTCTTCTGTTTTCGAGTTACTGAGTTTGGAGTGAGCGGTTTTGTTCTGGCTGCCACCATCCGGCTCTCGTTCTCTCCCGCTTTGTGGATGTCATCTTTCTCATCCACTCCTGAAGGTGTTGGTGGTCTGATAGAGGGTGTCTCCATCTTGGGATCTTGCTCTCCACTCTCTTCCTCTCCCTCTGACAGTGGCTCCTCCTTTATTTCAGTTTGGTTTGGGAGTGGTGAAGCAGAAGCCTCTTTAGCCTGAATGTGCTGGAGGGGGGTTGGGATGTGACATTGTCCCAGTGAAGGTGTCTGATTCTGGGCTTGGACTTGTGCTGCAGTTCCCTTGTTCTGGCTGTAGTTCCTCTGTGCCGCCATAAAGCAGAGATCCGGGTCACGTAGGATATGGTAATCTGTTCGGCTGACTCCGTGTTTGGCTGCCCCAAGAAGAAGATCCCGATCATGGGATCCTGTTTCCCACCACACTGGAAGATCCGGTCCTGGCTGGCACAGTGCGAGACGCTCATAAAGCTGCGGGTGACGCAACACCTGTTCTCTTATCTTCCGCAGCAACTCCACTCTGTATAAGGTACGGGAGGCACGCTCCTCTGTGATAGGTTGTATAGCAAGAGAGGAATCCACCATATCTGAGGAGAGAGTAGACAAAACTGATGATGAAAAAGTACAGCAGACTTGCTTAAAAACTAAGTTTAGTATGTGTGCATGTTTAGATGTTTGTGGCACTGACCTCCCTCTATAGCGGGTAGGCGGCAGACTCTCCTGCACATGGCAATAAAGGCACACAGGTACTTGTGTAGACTCTCGTCAGTTTTCTTGTGCAGTCGAGCCATGGCTCTGAACTTGGTCCAGTCAAAACGGCCCAAATCTGGATCAAACACTACCCCAAATGTTGAAACCACACGATAGAAATCTGCCTCCTCTCTACGCGTCCACCTATTGAAAAATGGAAAAATTATCAATTCATAAAAAGTGACTGGCTCACACAAAGAACTTCAGGTTTATATTTGCCTCCTTTTCACCTTAAATGCAAGTCATGGATATTTCCATGAATATGAAATGTATTTCAGATATTTCTGTTCATTAACTCTGTTAAATAGCTGATCATGTGGGAAGCTGCCCATTTTATGTAAAATCAAACAGCTTTTTCTAGGTCACATGATCTCATGTGGGTTTACATCATTTTAAACAGATTTTTCAAGCATTATTCAGCAGAAAAACATACTTGTGCATTCTTAAGTCGAATTAAAGCTGGAATACACTACATGACTTTTAAAATCTGAAGAGATTTTCAAACACTAGGAATCCTACACTTGCAGACTTTATAAATGGTTACAGAGAAAAACTGGGCATCAAACTAAACAACTAAGGATCACACACTACCATGCTTTCAAGCTTTTCCAAACACAACAAACTCACACAGAAACATGCATCTCATTGCTAGGAGACACTTGACAATGAAAACAATGTATTCTAAAATCGGCTCAAAATATCAAACATGTCTGATATCCTCCGACTGGATGGAATCATAGTCTAAAGCCTAAAAAAAAGAGAGACCATAACCATCATACGCTACGTGATTTTCTGTGAAATCTGTCAACTCCAGCTGCCAAAAATCTGCAGACTGGCTCAGACTTCAGGCAACTAGCATTGACTCCTCCACACTTCACGTTAGAGGGAAAAAACTCTGTGCAAAAAGTAGTGTATTCCAGCCTTTACAGCTGATGTTAACTAAAATCTCTCACCGCTGTTGTCTTTCAATTTTAGCAGCAATTTTGGGACTGAGTGTGTCGCTGAGCATGGGGGGCAGAGGGTAGAGGGCAGGGGTCATGGTCTGCTGTGTCTGGTGGATCTGAAGTATCTGTCTGCTCTTGGTGAAGCGCTGAGATGCGGTGATCAGACGCCGCAGTCGGGCCGTCAGCGCAGAGGTTGAGGGCCAGTACATCCCTGAGCCAGCACCCAAAGTCCCACCGCCACCATCTAATACAGAACCTCCTTCTGCACAAACACACTGCTAATGACTAACAATGTCTTAATATTAACTCAAAACAAATTAGGGGTTTATTTATAAAAGGGAATGAGAATCACTATAACACTATAGTTTGTCAATACCTCCGCCTGTATCAGTGATGACCAGGTCTCCTGGGGAGGAAGCATCATCCTAGAGGTAAGAGCACATGTTAAATCATAGTTCAACACTATAACACACACACAAAACATAAAGAATGCCCTTTAAAATTCTTGAATTTTAACTAAATTTGAATTGAGGTAGCACACAGATTTAGAAATAAAAAGGATAAAATAAATGAAAATAAATTCATATAGCTGTTGTCAATGTTATGAATGAAAAACAGTTTATAACAGTATGTTTTAGTATGAATTATTGTGTATGTCGCCATACACACAACATAATACTTCCAGAATCAAAATGACCACAGCTGATCACAGTTGAAAGTCAAATAGCTTTGTGTACCATTGAGAAGGTGATTAGCTACACCTGATTGAGTTTACAAGTCATTTTTAGGAGGGGGTGATCCTTTTTCCAACTCAGTGATTCAGTTTTTTTTTGTGTGTGTGTTTATGTTGGTGTTATATCTTTCACTTGGATGTTATAATGAGTAAATACAGCTGGATAAAACAAAAACTGTGTCCATCTTCATTTCAGGCTGCAAAGCAACAAAATGTGATTAATTTAAAGGGGTGTTCAACACTATATTCTTTTCTATACCCACTGTATATATATATATATATATATATGTGTGTGTGTGTGTGTGTATATTCCATGAATATTATATGCAGATTTATAAATAAAAAGTTATAGTATTCTACAAATAGGCAGCTATTTAGTTACAAAACATGATGTTGGACTAATAAATACCTGCTTTGTGACTGTGTTTACTGAATTGAAACTACATTACTCTTGTGTGCTGCCTGTGGCCTATTCAATTCAAATTCTAACTCATGAATTGAAAAGACAACCAATTCTAAAATCCGCCCATCCCTGAAGTCACACTAACTGACATTCTTTGAGCTTCTGTATGCACTTGTGTGTGTAACAGTCTTATCAGGCCCAGTTCTCTCTCTTCCAGTTGCATACCTCCATATCATCCTTCAGCAAAGCTGGAGCAGGCTTATACTCAGGGTCATCCACATCTCTGCACACACAAACAACACACACACACAAACAAACACAGTTACAAATACTTAAGAGAGTTACTGCAGGCAGAAACTGATAAAAGACTTCCTCTATCTGTATGAATGGAGCACATGTTTGTGTCTCTTACCCATCCATAAAGTCATTTCCTCTCTGCTCAGCAGCGATGGCCTTCTCGTCCGGCCGCCCAACCCTGTCTATGAAACACAGTGCTGGATCTGCACGAATAGTGTTGTACTTCTCATAACCTACAACACATAAAAACAGCCATTAGATAAAAGTGTGTACGCACACATAAAGCCTTGAGCGCAACAGAGCTGATCGGACTGACCGTGCTTAAAGACTCCTAACAGCAGACATTTGTCCGAGAGCATGTCCCACCACAGAGCAGGCATCTCTGAATGATCCGGCTCAGGAACCCAGATCTCTATCTCACTGAGAGACAGCAAAACAAACATTTCAGCCATTACTAGCAGTAACCTGCTATACATTTTAGTTTTTGGAATCCAAATTTTGGATTTCGGAACAGACCACAATTTAAGTCTGATATTGTCATTTGCTGACATTTTTTTGGTGAACTATTCCTTTAAATGCAGATATTGATATTACATGAGTACATTCCTGAAGTTTCCTCAGCAGAACAGCAGATGGCGCTTTAATGTTCCTCTTACTGAACAAACTGACTAACACTGGAGTTCAATGAGGATCTATTTATAATCCTTAAATCTAAAGAGATCTATGATACACAAGAGAATGTCTTGTGAAACCTTGTATATTTTAAGGTTTTGATCAGTTTTATATGGCTTAAAATTAAATACATATTACCAGCACGTAAAAAAAAATAATTTAAAATACTAAATTATTAGTATTTAAAAATACCGTTTTGTATTTGTTATTCTGAGGATGGGAAATAGATACAATGTAAATCTGAACGGCACAAACCAGCACAAATCGAG